GTGCAGTGTTAATGTACTGGAGTGTCCAGTCAGTCAGTGTGTCTGTATGAACCCCTCTCTCTCAGTGCAGTGTTAATGTACTGGAGTGTCCAGTCAGTCTGTCTCTCTGTGTCTCTCAGCTGGTAGCCAATGCAGTGGTATTCCTCTGTGCCAATCTGGTTGGAGGTTTTCACCTGGCACTGACAGAGAAGGCGCGTCGGAAATCGAAGAGGGAAGCAGAGAGGTTTGATGAGGTTCGCCTTCAGCTGGTGTACGAGAAGCGCCAGCAGGTAAAACACATGCAAGTGACACACACACACTGAGTACACACTGACACACTAGTGACACATTCACACTGCGTATACAGTGGCACTCTTGTGATACACAAACTGAGTGCACAGTGAAACACTAGTGACACACACTGAGTACACAGTGACATTATAGTGACACACACACTGTGTACACACTGACACGCTGGTGACACACACACTGAGGACACACTGACACGCTAGTGACACACACACTGAATACACACTGACACACTAGTGACACACACTGAATACACACTGACACGCTAGTGACACACACACTGAGTATACAGAGGCACTCTTGTGATACACACACTGAGTGCATAGTGAAACGCTAGTGAGTACACAGTGACACATTAGTGAGACACACACACTGAGTACACAGTGACGCACTGGTAATGCACACTGAGTATGCAGTGACACGTTAGTGACAAACACACTGAGTACACAGTGACACACTAGTACACAGGTACACAGGGATATTGTAACGACACACAGACATGCTAACATCACATGCGTTCTTATTGTCGTTTTTTTGTTTCCTTGGTGACTCTCCCAGGAACACCTCCTCCTCTCCGTGTTGCCGCGGTATATCGCAATGGAGATGAAGTCGGAGATTATCCGTCGTCTGAGGGAGAGCCAGAATGACAAAGAGAGCCCCAACCACTTCCACAGCCTGTACATCCGGCAGCACAAGGATGTCAGGTACCCTACTGGGGCCCCCTGACACCCCAGAGTCCCAAAGATACCCACTGTCACCCTGATAGCTACAGACACACTGATACCCCTGATTCCCACAGATACCCACAGACACACTGATACCCACAGATGCACTTATACCCACTGACACCCTGATATCTACAGACACACTGATACCCCTGATTCTCACAGATACCCACAGACACACTGATACCCCTAAGTCCCACAAATACCCACAGACACACTGATACCCCTGATTCCCACAGATATCCACTGACACCCTGACACCCCTGATTCCCACAGATACCCACTGATACCCTCATACCCACAGATACCCTGATTCCCACTGACACACTGATACCCACTGAAACCCTAATACCCACAAACACCCTGATACCCCTGATACCCACAGATACACTGATAAACACTGATACCCCCTGGGACACCTTGGGACACCCTGAGAGACCCTGAGACACACTGAGTCATACTGAGTAACAGTGATACACACTGATACACAATGGGACACCCTGAGACACCTTGAGACACCCCGAGACACAGTGTGACACTGATTCAGACTGAGACACTGATTCACATTGATTCACACTGAGACACTGATTCACACTTATGCACACTGATTCACATTTATGCACACTGAGACACACTGATTCACACCAACACACTGAAACACTCTGATTCACAGTGAGACACTAATGCACACTTATGCACGCTGAGACACTGATTCACACTGATGCACACTGAGACACTGATTCACACTTATGCACACCGAGACACTGATTCACACTGGTTCACATTTGTGCACACTGAGACACTGATTCACACTTATGCACACTTAGACACAGATTCACACTGAGACACTGATTCAAACTGATTCACATTTATGCACACTGAGACACTGATTCACACTGAGACACTGATTCACATTTATGAACAATGACACACTGATCTACACTTATGCACACTGAAACACTGATTCACACTTATGCACACTTAGACACAGATTCACACTGAAACACTGATTCACATTTATGCACAACGAGAAACTGCTTCACACTTATGCACACTGAGACACTGATTCACATGTATGCACACTTAGACACAGATTCACACTGAGACACCGATTCACACTCTGCACACTGAGACACTGATTCACACTTATGCACATTTAGACACTGATTCACACTGAGACACTGATTCACACTTATGCACACTTTGACACTGATTCACATTTATGCACAATGAGACACCCATTCACACTGATTCACACTTATGCACCCTGAGACACTGATTCACACTGAGACACCCATTCACACTGATTCACACTGAGACACCCATTCACACTGATTCACACTTATGCATGCTGAGACACTGATTCACACTGAGACACTGATTCACACTTATGCACATTGAGACACCGATTCACACTTATGCACACTGAGACACTGATTCACACAGAGACACATTGAGACACTGATTTACACTGATTTGCACTTATGCACATTGAGACACACTGATTCACACCGAGACACACTGATTCACCCTGAGACACTGTTTCACTTTTATGCACACTGATTCACACTGAAATGCTGTTACACTACACTAATACCACAAAACTGTAGTGCTCCTGTGGGCTTCAGGGTCTGTATTAACCCCTCTCTGTCTCAGTATTCTCTATGCTGACATCGTTGGTTTCACCAGCCTGGCCAGCACCTGTACGCCACAGGAGCTTGTGGCCGTGCTCAACAAGCTGTTTGGGAAATTTGATGACATTGCTAAGGTGAGAACACTTCACTGTTAAAAAATTAAAACATAACTGTCCCCTCTGTCCCCTCTCGCTCTCACCGTGTTTCCTGCTAGGGTGTTTTTATTTGCAATGTCCACTCAGTCAGTGTGTCTGTATGAACCCCTCTCTCTCAGTGCAGTGTTAATGTACTGGAGTGTCCAGTCAGTGTGTCTGTATGAACCCCTCTCTCTCAGT